AGAAAAATATATCAACACGCTTGCTTACCTGCAACAAAAGAAAAATATTGACATAAATATATTATCGAATAACATTATATGAATAAAGTGTCTATCGGGGAGAGAGCCTCATAAAGAATTAACTTTTACACGCACAAAGATTTCTTTCGCTCTGTCTATTAAATAAATATATAAATATCCAAAGCTCTTTAAGATTACATTAGATTTTAGTATATAAATAAAATAATAAAGGTTTCTATACGTATAAAATCTGTACATATATAAAATACATAAAAATATTATTTAAATATTATTACGTTAGAAATTATATTTCAGAAGATTCTACATATATTTCTACGCTACGTATTATACAATAGATATTCAAAAGCACGTATATAAGTATGCTACGCAGTCAACGTAGCATTACTCACGGATTTCCGTAGAATGTAAATTGGCGGAATCCACACCCAGTCTATTTTCACATTACACTCCCTTTTTCTCCCCGCGCCGGTACAAACGCGAGAAAATACATTGCCACGGCCCTCATAGTCGCTAATTTTTAACGAAGATGGCTTCTAAGACCGCCGTCTATCATTACGGCGTACACATTACGCTAATGACACCTATCATACGCATTACGTAATTAACATCAGCACGATACGTTTGTTCGTCGCTGGCGCTCTCGGCTATAGATAGCCGGCGGAAGGGAACTAATCACAATTTCACGCTATTATTCGCAACCACTAATTTACTAAAGTATTTAACCAATTATTCATCAGAGAACGGTTGTAAGACTGCTTTCATTCCCGCCGGCTTACACTGATTCACAATAGAACGAAAGATAATATTTCGATGATATCTCTGTCGTGTTATCCCTCGCACTTTTATTTCTGAACAGAATGTCTGACAACAACGATCACTTTATCTATTTGCTCTTTTAAATTTGATTCATGTTATTTATATTTTTTTTAATAATTCATGGTTACATATTTATACGTTTAATTTCAGTTATATATTTTAGAGTTTAGAATGTAAATAAATATGTGTACCGAATAATAAATCAGTCTGTAATAAATTTTTCGATAATGATAACAAAGAGAGAGCGATGAGATTAAAAACCTTAATTTTTGAGCTAAATCTGAACAAATTAAGGTACGTTAATTACCTACATATATACTAACGCGTTAGGATGCTACGATAAGTCTCTCATGAAGATCCGATAAACGGCAGCCTCGTAACGTGGCCGGCAAAATTTTGGTCGTCCTATTCAAATTTTTCCAGCCGGCAACTAATTCGAGACCATCATAGATACAAGCGCATGTATCATGACGGCGGGCCGGCGGTTACATATATATCCCCGACAATGGGAACCGGAGCCAGGTTATCTCGGTTCTTTGTATTCAAATTGCTGCGGAAATACAGCCGGCAGATTATGTGGAATAGGCATTTATCGTGGGATTATGAAACCCCGTATTGTAATAATAATGCAACGTTACTCTCGCCGGTTTTAATTACTTTTTTTTTATACGTTCCCTTAATCGATGACAAAGATTGTAAAAACCGGCAAAAACAGAATAATTACTGCTTCGTCGTGCTTCACGGCACGTTTAAGCGCGATTGTAATTATGCTTAGAACACGAAAGAGAAAATGTAATCGGTAACTCATACGTAAGTACCGCGCGAAAAATATCAATGTATGACGACTCATTGCGCAATTATATTTTCGCTAATGAATCAGTTCTCGTATAAAGTTTCATATCCTCGCAGTCTCATCTGTGTGAATAGAATAAATATAGGTAATTACCACGTTTCATTGTATTCATATCAAACAATTTCGTTATTAGCTTATTATTAAAATATGTTCTTTCTTCCATGTTAAATCTTTATAAGCATAAATAAATAATAAACAGTAACATAGGCGCATTTTACAGTTTCTTTTATTTTAAAAGTCAGAATTTTAGATAGATTGGCCGAATGAAGAAAATTGGCTGAATTTAAAGATATTAAATACAAAAGCAAAATTTTTCAATAAAATAAATCTTGATAAAGATTGCTCGCGCAAGTTTAAACGCGACAGATAAAACACCGCAACACAAATACATTTAATTGCCGAAAAGTTTTTGGGAATCTTCTCGTTCTCTTTCTTATAACAAAACGACGGAGGATCCACAACAGTAACTAAGTTATGAGACGCTAATAACACGAACGGTACAAACACAGAGACTATGATAAACGATAATCCGCCTAAACGTTACACTTGTCGGCTCGTTGATCGTTGCTGTCGACATTGTTGATTCATGGGCAAGCGAGAGATTTAGAGATAGCGAATTCGTCGGTACATTACGCCGACTGTCAAGCACAACCAAATGTTTGCCAGTAGGATCAAAGATTTTCATGTGGATTAGATCGTCTAGACGTTGCGAATGAAAAAGATTTCGTTATTGGTGAGCGACGCATTACGTAAGAAAATGTTCGGATAAAATATGAGCGGATATCAAGTTGGAAAAGATATTGCGCAAACAATACGGTGATATTTCTGGTGACATATATATATAAGATTACGTCGCAGAAAATACGGCAAATAAGCGTAGTAAATTCAGCGCTCTACATTTCAGGCTCTACATTTCTGAATTTATTTTGCTGTTAAAACTCGAAAGGTTTTCATCTCGTATGCGGAGTTTTTAGAAATGAATGAAAGCATCGACGTTGAGTAGGCATGTATATTCAGATTTTCTCGATCATTAATGCAATAACGTGACAACTCTTCATCTTCTTGAAACGTATCTCTTCATACAATATATTATTTCTCTCGAATAAAAGTATATAATGAGATTTAGTGAAAGATGTATATGACAATATAGAGCGATTCCACGTTTCATAATGTCACATCTTTGTTCTCGTATAGCAATTCTTATACGTATAAGAAACACTCGTATAACGAATTTTGACATCTTTGCCAATTTAATTTGGTCACTCTACTAAATAACTACTACTCTACTACCTCATGTATAATGACCAATTAGAAACGGTGTCCAGTAGCTTAGCGATGTTCATGAGACTTGTACGCGATTAAAATTCATGAGTCGATTATCCACGCCAGAAAGATAGGCGTGCGAGAACGATAAATAAGGAAACTCGCTCGTTTATCTTCTCACTCTATGACCCGTCTTCCATTCTTTATTTTAAAAACATATTTCAGTCCGAGACGATTTGTCGTGAAACGCAGGAGACGCGTATAAATATAAAAACATGAGAATATACCAGCAATTACGAAAGGAAAAGATAAAACGCTAACGTCGACTGAGGTTGCAGTAAACTCCGCGGTTTGTTAATTATAAAAAATACGTTTGTGCCGAGGCTAGTGACCCAAGGTTGCAAGAAACTACGCGTCAGCTCGACGGGTTTATTAATTAGAGAGGAAGAGGTACCATCGGAATAAAATGCAACGGCGGTTACGCGGTTGCTTATATATTCAAGGTTCGCGGCCGAGATGGCGCATTTATTAATTGAAGACTAAAGAAGCGAAAAAGGAATGTCAAAAGAAAATCACAAAGCTGAAAGAATCGAGAAAGTATTTATTAAAAAAAAAAAATTTTCTGAAATCGCTACTGAATCGCGATTTCGCATTCGATAATCAAAATAAAACAAATTTCCACAGGACGAATGGTTAGCTTGCTGCTCGTATATGCCTCGCACGAATCAACGTATATAGGAGCTTATTGATATTACTTCCCAGAAAGGGCGACAGGGGAAAGAAACGAGGAAGGGAGGGACGGTTGTGAGTGAAAGAGAGTGGGGTAATTGAAGCAAAGCTGCACTTAGCAACATCGCGCTCGGCGGACCTCACGACGACGGCACAGTTAACATAAGCGCACGATCAGGGTCAGGCGACACTATCTGATTACGGCAAGTTCGTTAATTGGCAAATTGCGAGCGTGAGTCATGCGTCGGGCCGGGCAGGTATAGGTATAGGTATAGGTTCGGTGAGTCACGTGAAATTCTGCGCTCCCTTTATGGTTCGCACGCGAGTGCAACGCGCCGATCGGTCGGGTCGGACAGCACCGGTTACGTGCACGCGCCGCTCGCCGCGATATTCCGACAAGCATGTAACAACGATCAGGCACATCTCCCGTATCCCTCCTGACGTCCATTCTCCATTCCCTACACCTCCGCGGTTAGGTAGATTATATATTTCTAGACGACGCATGTGGATTGATAGTACGTGCGTATTATCTCCGCGTCGGATTTTCCTCGTGCCGGCGTGATCTCTGGCTGTAAGCTTGCTCGCGTAAGTTCCGACTGGCATCCTCCATCAACGTTTGAACGCGTTCCAAATAGAGTTGTAGCCGCCCCGATTGCTCCCGACAAAACAAAACGATACTCTACGTTGTTTCAAGGTAACGACACAGGAACTTCATTTTGTCCGATAAACTATTTCTATAGGTATCGGTGAGCTGAATTCGCGTAACAATAGAACTATCAGAGCAATCAAATTGATTGATTCGTAATTTCTTTATCAAGTTTATAACACATTTTCTGAGATTTTCCGTGATTTGAAATATGTAAATGATTAAGTTAAGCAATTTAATTTTCCCCTTCATCATTTCTTTCTGAAGATATATGTATATCTATATTATATATATTTAAAATAGTAAAAATATATAGATATACATTAATTATTGAGTTTTTCTACTTAATTATCATGCTACTCGGAACACTATTATTTTACATGATTAGCAACGCAAAGTAAATAATCAGAAAAATTTATCTAGATTAATTAATTTAAAACGTTATCATAAAATAAAGTTAATGTACGTACGAGATACATTAACTGTAGGAGATATTTAATGTGATTAATTTCAAAATTGTAGCGTTAACAACGTTGTGAACTAGTCATTAATTACGCTCACAAATTACACTTTCATTTTGCCTCGAACACGATTACGCAAAACAATTACGTTATGCCGAGGGTATAATTATATAAATATAATAAGAATACAAGAGAGAGAGATGGCGGAACAAGGCAATCAACGTAAGTCCCGGCTTTTCTTCCACCTTACCGCTCGCCAGGAGCACGTAAGTAAAAAGTCATTTTCCTTAGCGGAAGACACATTCCGGAAAGTCCGACGAATCTCCACGCAGAGGCCACCATTTTGTACCCGGACCGTGAGAGAAATAAATTGCCGCCGGGCAAATCGTATTTTATTTCGCGCTGGTAAACACGGTGAAGTGAGTTTACGCCTGACAGGACAAACAGTTACGTGTAACGATATTAATCCAAATGAACGTTTACTTGTCGGCATATTTCTCTCTCTCGTACTCGCGACAACGGGATTATTTTTGGGACGCGTCCCGCGATGTGAAGTTAAACGTCGAGCGCGCTTAAATCCACCAAAACGACGACGAATCGATTCTCCGCTCGAATAACAACGAAAATAAAAATAAAAAAAAGAGTCGAGACAATCGACGAGTGAAATGACGAGACGCGATCGAGGAACGTTTCGTTCGAGTCTGAATTTACGAACGTCAAAAGCGTGAGCACTTTCGCGAATTATTGTGAGAAGGATGAAATTACTACCGCGCGATGATTGTGGCAATTCGTACGAGGTCTACAAACTAAATGTGTCATCCCAGTTCTCCTTTGGCGATAATTAGTGCGTTGTACGAGTTACCGGCTGTGACGCGTTCAAATTAGATTCGTGTTTACACGAACGGCGACGCCAGCAAGAGCGTCGTGTCGGCGCTAATCAGAAGATACATCTGATTAGAGAGTCGATGCAGTTCATTAATTAACATAGCGCGTCCCCCGGAAACTGATCTTATACGGCAATCTGCACTGAGAAAACTTAATACCGTCGGATATTAGAAGTATAATTTCTCTCTCCCCGGGACTTATCTTCTCCGGTCGATCGAGATAAATTCAGCTGAAAGAGCGGAATAGGGACTTCCTTCTCGCGCTCGGTATGATAAAAAGATTAACATTTATTGTCCGCCCGTAATTGAGAATATAGTGCGTTGTTTTTTTCCGGTAGAGAGTTTCCCTCGCGCGCGCGTGTCGCGGAAAATATTTCCAGGTAAAGCGCAAAAACAGCACAAATGCCAGCAAACGGATAAAAACGCGGCGAGCTCGTCCGCTTTCGTGCAACGCATTTGTTATTTTAATAATCCCCTCCCTCGCTCCGCCCGCATTCTTATTTATCATACTTTTTTATTTTAATAACTGCACTCTCTCTCTCTCTCTCTCTCTCTCACTTGCGCGCACGACCTGGCTCGAAAACGAGCCAACAGCCAGCAGTAAATAGTCGGAAAAATGAGAGTCGTCGAGTTTCTGGTATATCGCGCAGTTAGGTGCCGGCCGGGGGAAACACCGCGAATTGTCGTAAATATTAATAATCCGGGGAGTCGACGACGGAGGCGGATGTCGGCGGTGCGTAATTAGTGCTCCCTTCTTTTCGAGGAGCCGAGAGGTTGGAAAATGTTTATGCCGCGTACCAACCACCGAGGAAGAAATTACGCCGAGATCGTCGGTACTAGAAATTCTAGTCGCTTGATTAATCGCGCCGGCCTTCGTTTAAACGCGGACAAGGACGCGGGACGCAAAGACGTTTGAACGAGAAATCCACGAGAGCTCTGAGATAGCGGAATATTCTTGATTAGAACATTATCTGACGATTTCCTGAGTTATACAGATTAATGGCTTCGTCAAATTGCATACGCACGATCTAATGACAGTGCAAATCACAGTATATTATCGCAAACTTAACGCACAATGTTGGACATAGATTATAATAAATAAACTCGCAGCACGCTTAACTTTCATCTTTCCTTTTAACCGTGTACCACTTTTATCAAAACTATAATATAAATTTAGGAAATATTAGCGCCTACGCATTAGTGTATCCTAATACATTAACTTTAAATGATAATTTTTTAGAAGAGTTTAGAAAATTTATTTTTCTTTAATAAATTTTTCTTTTGAAAAATTAATTATACAGAAAATTTGGTATTGAGCATTATTTCATAAATATACAATCCATGTTATTCATTTAAAAATTTACCGAAAAATATTTACGGCCAATGTTATTCTCCGGCAGAGAAAAAGAAAAATTCTATTAAAAAAAAAAAATTTTAACAATTAGTCATTTCTCATATACTTTCCTTTTAATCATACTACTTCTTCATAGTGTCATTTAGAAGACAACGATCACTTCAGCGAAAAACGCAGCACGAAAGAAGACTCAAATACGGGAAGGCAGAAGTTAAAGGAAGAGACGCCTTCAAAGAAATCGGAAGAGAGAGGGGTAAGTTAGCTGTGCTGCAGCGGAGCGTACTGTTTACAGAAATTAGCAATTCTAATATTTAGGCAAAGCGAGACAAATTTATTAATTAAGTCTGAAGTCTGGTTGCGCGTCGCGAGATACTTTTCGTCTGTATTACGTTCGCGAAAAAGGATAGCCGAGACAGTAATGGGAAATGAGAACGCGTGGGCCATGAAAAGGGATAGAAGAGGAGAGAGAGAGAGAGGGAAAGGGAGAGAGAGAAGAAAAAAACGAGAAGGCGGAGAACGTCGGACACTAGTTTGGAGAACAAGGAGAAGAGTGTTGGGAGGAAGCGGGACGACAGTGTCCTCGGTCGTGCGTCGCTCAGCGGGAAACTTTTAATTCCGTAACTCCCGGATTAAATTATCACGCCGAGACGATTGTCCCAGGAAAGATTAAGAAAGGAGCTCTGGCCCGGCTCGGCGGCGACGTCGTTCCTTCGCAGAACCACGCACAATCGCGCTATAGAGACGAGAGGGAAAGACGGAATACGGTGGAGGAGGAAAGGGAAAGGACGAGAAGGACAACGACGAAATCTCTTTTTCGTCTGCAGGACCGGTTGTTGCGCTCGGTTTAACTCGACTGCGACTCGTGGAGGAAGGAGACGCAGGGCGGGGATAAGAAATAAGGAGACGAGGGCGCAGGAAGAGCGGCAAAAAGCTGGGAATAACTTCACTTCGGTGTAAGATGAAGATGCAACGTTTATGTGGACGAAAAAAAAAAGAGAAAGAGAACCGAAAATTCTCACGAATGGAATGAGACTAGCTGGAGCGAAAGAGGCAAATGCAAGATTCATTATGCAATAAGGAAAAGAGACGAGACATTGGAGGATCGACGGGCGGAGAGTGCCACGAAAAGAGCACGGGATTCACGGGAGTCAGTTTTAAGTAGGTCCCCTTTGCGAGGTACTTCGATGCAGGACGAGACTAGAATGCACGTGTCTGTTCAACGAAGCACGTCAAGCAAAGAAGAAAACGAGGCAAGAGTGAAGCGAGGAAAGCAAATGTGTGGACGTGAGCGAGAGTATATAAAATACAGACGAAGTTAGCAAATAATTGATTGCTGGAACGATCGAAACGAACATTTTATTTCACTTATATAACTTCAGCTGCCTTCTGTGATAATACAATTTTCGCATGTACGTCGAGATAAGAAAAAAAGTCGAAAGCTTACGTTTGCCAGTAATCGATAATAACGGCGAGATAAAAATTACGACTTCATTCGATATTTAAACGCGGAGAAGGGTTTAAAATCGCAGGAATGGAAGTGAGACGGGGTATGATTTTTCCCTCCCCCTCACTTGGACGATAATGGAGAGACGAAGTTGGGAAATCTTTCCGAGTCTCGGGACGGCGTTTGGGTTTTGATTAACTCGAAGGTTGGTTTGAATCCGAGATCGAGCCGCGCCGGGAATCTGTCGCGTCGCATCGCGCGAAAGAGAAGTGGAACTTATCACGTTTCCATCATCTGTTTGATTTACCTGGCGTAACGCGGCAGCCAGTTACGTGTTTGCACAGATTCTCGCTGCGCGCGCGCGCGTTTCCAAGAGCACACTCGAACTTAATATTATTATTAGCCGCGCGTGCGGGCGCCGCCGCCTATATCGCGACGAAACGAGAAGGGAGATCGCGGCTGCAGCACGGAATACGCGATACGACTCGGCTCCCTCCTCGAGCGAAAACCAATCGCTCTGGCCGCATTTACTTAGGATTAATCAAATGCGAATATAACTCCCATAGCTGATGCTCCTTTCGTCGCAAATTCGAGCGGATGTGCATCGAAGCGCGAAAGACTGTCGAGCAAACGACTTTTTATGAGAACGGGCCTGCATGTAAAGGGAAACCTGCGGCCAATTGTTTCAATAAACCTTTATGCTACATATTTTGTTTAAAAAAAAACCTATTACACGTCATTCTAATACACTTGATTTGTTGCTTTATTTATTGCGACAAATTATATAAAATTAAATTTAAATATTATTTTAATAACTAGACATAATCTCATCTTCAATAATTCAGTTATTTTTTATATTTTCTTTATTTCACAAGACATGTATCTTAAATATATTAAAAATCTAAAGAAGAATACAGATAATGTTTCTTGGATTGTTAGACAGATAATGAATCTCTTGTTTCATGGCAGAAATTCATGGTATTCGTGAAACGAGCATCGTTCGACGAGAAGAAAATACACAAATTTGTACATGTCGAAATGTTTGCTCGCACTAATAGTTATAGGTATATCGATTGCGGCTTTTCCCGCATGTTTAACGTTGAATACAATTCTTGGCTATAAGCACCCTTAAATTATTGCATTTGCTTGGAAAAAGTGGTAATAGGTCAAAGGAGGACTAACAAAATATTAAAATTGTTAGAAAAATATTATTTTTTAATAGATTCGTTTTTAATATATTTGTCGTTAGATATAGAATGTTTACGTCAACTAGTGGGGATGCTTTATACTTATGGTCATAATTGTATTTCTCGACATTTGTCTCACACTATCCATATTTTATCGCGTTGATGTCAAAAATCGAGTTGACTATTTACATCTAACATAATGCGATAATATAAACCATTATCTTAATTCAATGTTGTATAAATTTTTGGTTAGACGCGCGGGATTTACTGTAAGAAATGTTGTATTGAAAATTCTATATGAAAAAAAATTATCAAAATTCACCGTTCATTTAATCGGCTGTAAATGAATGACATTTTTCTTCGCTCAACGATAGTTATCAGCCCGGAACTTTCAGACGCGACACACGAGATGTCGAAGAAACAAACAGCGTCTGGAAAAGCGAAACTCCCTTAAAGAATCCTCAACTCGAAGCACAGCCCGAAGGAATCGGATCGTATCGACACGAACGAATGGTCCGAAGAGGCTTCCAGGTTCGCGAAACGTCGCCGAGATATTGTTTGCCGCAATGCCGCCGGGAATGCTCGTCGTAGGTGAGAAGGGACGGCGAATCGAATCTCGTCCCGATCATAGAGTCTTTGAGTGTACTTCCGCGCGACTTGGCACACGGAATTGTTTCGATATCGGGCTCACGAGAGGAATGACTGCGACGCTGCGGCAATTCGTAATCTCTCGGAGCCGCACTAGAAGGTGCGTATAGCGCTACGTAGCTTACACAGTCGAACAAGGACATATAGGTATATATACCGCCTGGCGAATGACGGAGGAAGGAGAAAGGTCGGAGGACGCAACGAGGTGAACAAAAGGCGAAGAAGAGGACGCCGAGAGCGGAGAGACGGAGGAACCCCTGCCCCGGAGAAAGGAACTCGATGCATCCGAAACAGGGATTTCGTGGAAATCCTTGGATACGCTTGACTGAGCAAAATATCCTTCTTCGTTGCTATTCCCGGAGTTTCGAGGTCTCGACGGCCGTCGGAACGTGGTGTTCCAGGGGACGGAAGAGAAGGCGGCGCGGCCCGCCGGAGGATCCAACTGGAAGGAAAAACCGAGCGTCGAGGATCGAGAGAGAGAGAGAGAGAGAGAGAGAGAGAAAGAGACCGAGAGTAGAAAAAAGATAGATATCGAGAGAGGGAGAAAGCGAAAGCAAGGAGAGGTCCTGCATTGCGACAACTAATGAACCATCTTGGAACGGACCTTCCAAAGTCTCGTGGGACGTGACGGCGCAATGCAGTCGCCGGCAAGCCAGCAGCAGCGGCGACAGTGGCGGGCGGCGACGGCGACGGCAACGGCGTCGTCGTCGGTAGACTCCGACGACTTTTTGCTCTCATCATCCAGCACCACCCTACCAATTTCTCTTCGCCGCTCCTATCTGCGGATCCTTCTCCACGGTGGACTCGTTTCCACGAGCTCGTCTTATTCCCTTAAAACGCCCACGTTTTCCATCGGATTCTTATTTGAATTCTCTGCTTGGTCGGCGGAGCGACCGAACCCCCTCGCAACATTTCCTTCTTTCTGATCTCAAGTTTGACCAGAGAGGCAGGAGGCGGGGAGTAAGGCTTGGCCAACGTGGTGAAACAAATTTACGGATGAAGGAGCGACGAGTAGGAGGCGGAGCCTGGTCCTTTACTTAGGGCAAAGTTACTCGGCGAAGAAGTGGTTAAGTCGTCAATTATCTGCGCACCTTGTAATCACGTAAATCTTACTGTTGGTTCAGACTGAGTTTACACTGGTAAAGAGTTCGTTTCGAATATGGTGAAACTGAGTAATTGTTTGACACTAAAAATACAGATCTATTCTTCTAGCGAGTCAGTTCTCTCCAATCAGTCGAACCACGAAAATCTTAAAGTCTTAAAATTTTTACAGATTTTTAGTCAAAGTCGTTCATGTACATACAAATTCCAACAGTAATAATACAAAAAATTAAGATAACCACAAAATCATAGGCCTCCATTTATGCGTGTAATATTAAATCATGCATAAAGTAATTTAAATCTCTTACACGTGTGTCATATAAAGACGATCAATAAAATTCGAAACTAACGAGAGTTCCAAGACATATAACTCTTTTCGTGTATTCGTTTTCATAATTATTTATACAGAAGGAAAAAAAACTAACAACGGTCGTACCCATAGAATCACGCATTATAAATCGTGTTTGGACTTCCGCATGGCCGCACGAGCGTGACGGTCAAGCATGCGACATCCCCTCGTTCGACGGAAGTCGACAAAGGGACGCGAAAACAAGGTGGCGAAACAAACGTAGGGATCAAAGAAGAGCAAGAGCGACGAAATTCGCTTTTTCGCCCTTCCTTTTTTTCCCTTCCACTTTTTCGCGCGAGGCTAATCGCGTTAAAGCAGACGTGCTCGTTGAAACTAAAACTCGATCCATCTGATCCCTCGCAATTAGAATTCCGCTTTACACGAAAGCTCGAAAGCCCCCGGCTGCCTCCCATCTGGCAGTCCTGCCATGCTCCGGCACCATCACGCTTCACCGTCTTAAAGCAGTTCGACTCCCTCCCAATTCGGCTTTCTTCGGTATTTACTTAACTCCGCGAATCTCGCGGCGGCACCGTATTACGGGTCCGACGTATACATCGGCAGGGAACACGAACGAAATTCTAGATGAAGAGATTCCGCGGTAAACGCAAAAAATAAGTCGCGTCTCCGTCCCGCTATTCTTTACCTCGTGGCCAAGTAGTAATTACGTTAAATGGAACAGGATTCCGGCAAGTTGACTGGGGATAATCTCTTTCTTCCGTCACTCCGCATCAGCGTCCTAATTCCCTTGAGATGATGTCTTTACGGATGAACCATTCGTAACTCCGTTTCCCCTCGTCTCGCGGAGTCTTCTCGTCGGGACGCGCTCATTACTTAAAATTACGATGCACTCCAAGCGATGTACGCGGGATCGTCAACGATTATCAAAACGACCGCGAAAAAGTAACCAATTGGTGAAGGCCGAAGAAAATGTGAAAAATGCACGGCGGAAGTCTCGAGAAATTTTGCCCTCCTTTCTGTGTTTTCTTGATTCTCGTGAAACGAGAAAAGGAAAAGAATGCAAAGTGACGGTCGCCACTGGCATTTTTCAAATCTCTTTCCCGTCCATCCACATCGCCGCTTCAATCTCTTCCTTTCCAGCTTATCCACATCGGCTATTCCGAGACCTTGCGTTTTTCTACTCTTCATCAAGTCGGCTTTTTCTCTCTCTCCCTCTCTCCCTTATTTAAATTTAATTACCATGTCGGCGAAGAGCACGGATTCCTCGCACGACCTGGCTACGATAAGGTGAGGTCAAAATGTGCTCGCGCGACGTTGGTGGCATCGTGGAAAAATCCCTCCCCGAGAACAAAGAAACGAAGGCGCACAAAGAATCCTTCGTTGGATCTCCGCTCTTCCGCCCCCGCTGTCTTTCCGACCCCTTCAGAATCCCCGGAACGGCACGAGGCGGTAATTGCATTAAAGTGGACGTGGGTTACGCAAGAGCCGCCCCTTCCGTACGCGGAATAATAAATTCCCAGCGGCGTGCTGTAACGAAAGTTAGGGCCTGCAAGTCTTGTTTCCCGGTCCGTTAGCGGCCGAGCCGGATTCCTCCTCACCTTCCAGCTTCCGCCATCTTCACCATTTTATTCCCTTCTTTTTTCTCAGCTCGCGTCCCTCTCACTCGAAAATCCTCGAATCGATCCAAGCGCAATAATTCACGACCCCAGCCCTCATCCGTGTCGATTACCGCGCACTTGTTCTTATTTTATCCCCGGCAAACGTACGAGTGAAGTTCCAGAGCGCTATTTTTCTCCTTCCTTTTTGTCCTCCCCGCAAAATTGAAGGAAATTTATAAGTTAATACGTACTGTTAAAACACTTAAACATTTCTATGATCAAATATCCAACTGTTAAATCTATAAATTCGAAATAAAACCCGGACAATATCGTTATTTAATCGCGTAAACAGATTATAAATTGAATAAGGATCCGCCTATACATATTTATATGCCGCAGCGATAAAGCAGGAAGTAGATATAAACATTAAAAGGCAAAGCAGCGCGCGAGTTATATAGCCCCGCAAGGAGACTTGCATATGTATAGAAGCCATCCTTTGATTTCAGGCGCAGTTAAGACTATCACGTAACACCTCGAATTCCCATAGTAACGATCCCAGCCATCTCGGCCAGAACGGCGAATTTACAGAAATTTAGTTGAATATTGTTTGACTGGGGGGGGTTCGCGCTCCAACGAGCAACGGCCGTAGCCGTTTGCCGGGCCCCGACGATCTTGCGGTTCTCCGCTCTCTCGCTGCGTACCCGAATTAACGCGGGTAATGGGAGGGAATCGAGCGTATCGTATTTTCGAGGATCTCCCATCGGCGAAGTAACGAAGTGCCAGGAATTTGAGGAGAAACGGGAGGCGGAGCGCGGCCGGAGGTAAACGCGATAGGAAAGGAAAAACGGTGTGAAAACGGGAGACGCCCAAAGAATGCACTTTGCGCGGCAGAAAAGGACAATATCAAGACAAGGTAGAACGGATCACGTATCGGATACCGAGCGTACATACCGAAAAGGAAAACGGAAAATGTCACGTAGCGGGTGGCGGGATCGCGCGAGCGCGAGCGCGCGTCGGTCGGGACGAACGCGGGAAAAAGGGAGCCGAGAAAAATAAGAGAACGCGCGTTTACGTGCGTGGAAAACCTGGAGAAGTATCGGGAGCCGCGGACGCTATACACAGGGAGGACCAGGGGAGGACACCGGGGAACAAATACAATAAAGGAAGCGACGGCGCGAACGACGCGGAATGGACAAAGAGCGGCGTAAGCGTTCGAACGGCAAGGAAAAATGAAGACGACGGGAATAAAAGAGAACGAAGATTTTGCCGCGTCGGGCTGGGATGGCAAGGGAAAAAAATGGAGAAGAAGTCACCAAGCGCGGTGTACGAGGACAAGAGTGGCGTCAAGTAGAATGAAAAAGGGAACAGGAAGAGATTGAAAAACGGGTGGGAAAGAGAGTAACATGAGGGAAAGAAAATGGGAGAAAGAGCAGAATATGTACGGGAAACAGGCGCGAATGAGAGAAAACGAAGAATTTTTTCGAATCTACGCGAGAGAATGCGGTCATTCATGAAACGGCACAAGAAGAAAAAAAGGAAAGATGTGACCATGAGATGATGACCTACGCGCGCAAATATAAGATGGGATGTTATCAAATGAGATTTCATCTCTCTTGTTCAAAAACGGGAAACAAATAACGAGAATAAATAAAGAACCGTAATATCGCAAACTGAATATGTATTGAAGGAAAAGGCAATCGTAGAATGATGTAAGATAAGATGGCAAAGTAATCTAAATAAAATTGAACATTTTGCAAAATAAATTATAAATATCACTCTTTTTATTAAACGTTCTAAAATGATAAGTTGTGAACGTAGAAAAATTGATTAAAAAGTATATTTTTTGAAGCATTCTTTAAACTGACCTCATATTTTATATATTCTTAGTCCTCGTCTTTTTCATTTCGAATCATTTTAAGTATACAAGAAAACGTATCTCTCATGATGCACATGGACGGATTCTCAATCGAGCGTACAACTGCAAACGCACGTAAAATAATTCATCTATCATCCGACTTTCCGACTGCATGTTTTATCATCGTAGCGCGAAGATCTAGTCGCGTCGAATGAGTGACGAAGAATCGGTGCTGACCGGCGTTATAAATCGTGCGAACGTATGAAAATTCAATAGCGGCGGAAGAGCAGAGGATTCGGCGGCGCAAAACGCAAAAGGACAATGCGGAGAACACGCGGAGCGGAACGGAAGCGCACGTTCGACCGTGTAGCACGAGAAACGACGGAGGAGAACGCTCGAGCGTAATACGGAAAATGTATTTCGCGAAGGACGATGAGAGAGGGAGAGAGAGAAAGTGAGAGAGAAAGACGTGGCCGCTCCATCGCGCTGCGGCACTACTGCCAGGTACTGCTGCCGTTGCACAGCGACGCTATATAACGGACAAGCCGTTTCACGCTACGTTTACCATTTTATTTTATTTCGAAAGGTATATATTTTTAGATTTTATTGCGGCCTCCCGAAAGAGGGAGAGAGAGAGAGAAAAAGAAGGAGAATACCCGCTCGACTGATGTATCGCGAATTCTTTTCGTGTTCAACGATTCCCATAGGGACACCGAAATCCACGTAATTTTATCCACGCAATAATAATTGTCAAAAGCGCCTTCATTGCTGTATAATAAACATTTTTCAATGGAATTTAATTTATTAACCGATTTTGTATCTCTTTTTTCCTGAATGTCATGCACGCGATTCGTAATTAAATGTAAAAAATTACAGATTCTGTATCTTTTGTCAAACATAAAAATATATCCGAATGAATGTTATTTAAAAATGATTGCAAGTTCCAGACCGTTATTATTAAATGCAGTCCTCTGCATCATGGAATCGCAATTTATCCTAATATTTATTAATATGTTTTAAATTGATATGAGTATATTATATTTCAAGATCGAAAATTAACATCGTTAAATCGTCGCAATTTAGTCTGCAAAATCTACACGCACCAGTAGATTTTAATATTAAAAGGAGGTGTTTAAGGATAATATAAAGCGATTTCATTTCTATTTTCAGACAGCGGCGGTAGCGGTTATGTCTAGGAAGCGCGTCGGCCGCGAAAGCCAAGCACGTTTTATTATCTCGAAAGCTATTTTGCCGGCTGCCTACTCGCTAATAGGATTGTCACTCGCGTGCCTTTTGCCGGGACCTACGATGGCGGATAGTTCCAATTCCCGGTATCGCGAACCGTCGTCGTCAACGGTTCAAGATATTCCGGGTCGCGCCCCCGCCAACTTCGTGCCTCATTATCCGCTTCGTTCCCCGAACGCGCGTCCCCGCGGCAAGAGGGAAAATGGAAAAATAGGCCGTGGAGAAAAAAAACAGAACGACCTGGGGAAGAAAATAATCCGCAGACGGTAACGATCGCGCGAATTATTCTCCCTTCGTCGCTGCGTCCCGTAAATTAATACGATACCATATGGACAGCCGCGGAAAAAAAAAACTCGACCTCGAAGGAAAAGAGAAAGATAGGGAGAGCACATCGAGAATTCAAAGCACGATTTCTAAACTTTTTCGATGGCTCAATTTCGCGGGGAGACTCGACACACCCCGACCACGCCCGCCTCGCTCTCGCGACAATTCGCTCTACGCCCTCCTTGTCTCCTTGAAGAGAAGAACGAAGGATACGGGTTAATGTCGTCCGGGCTGAAGAAGAAATGGAAAAAAAAGCAAGAAACTTGCCGGCCAATTCGCGAACGTGCCGTAGAGTCTAATATGTTTCGTATATCCTACTTGGCCGTTTGTTCTCTCCTTTTCCCCGCGCCGCGAAAAAGGAACAAAAGACACGGAGAGACTCGGAGGGAGCCTGGGCGGAAGAGGGGGACGGGGCAGCAGAAAGGGAGGAACTCGAGGTGCTGCGCCGGCATGTTTCACTATAGCACTCGAACCCGATCCCACTTTCATAAGTTCCCTTAAGTTTTGCGGCAGCTAGTATCTAATAGTCGGCTTTTCTCTTCCATTCTCGCTCTTCCCTTCTCGCTGTTATACCTTTCCTTACTATCCCATGTTACACCGCCAACGCTTCCTCACACTTCCTGCCTTTTCGTGGTATTTTTTTTTTTCACAATTCTTTTTTCACACTTAAGATAATTAATCCGACGAAAGTCACGTGGATCTTCATTGCAGAAACTGGACGTACTTTTTTCTTTTTATATAGTTAAAACGAATATTACATTAGCGCTCGTAATTTTTTTTTTAATGCTCTTTTCGGAGAACTTGTCATCGTTCACGGGGCATTTCGAATTAATTCATTTTGGCACGGAATATTTATTAATATTATGGTATATTTTAACATAATATAATAATAAATTACTAAATCAATTCGTATGTACATACATGTTATTGTGGAGATAATAATAACCCCCGCACACAATGTATATGATATGCAATAACAATATATCGTAGAACATTTTCCACAATATTTAATACTTTGAAACTAGAGAGCCATAATAATCGCTGTCAAAAGTTACCACGCACTTTAATAACATAATGTAAATAATGGTTAATAAACTATCACTCGCCAAACTATTAAACTGGCAGATGTATGTAATTAGTGCTACGTGCGATAAGAATTAATTAATTAGAACTCCACGTAACACTGTAGCGTAAAGAATTCCCGCTATATTTTTTCTCTTTTTAGAAGGTTTATCCAAATTAATTGGAACCTTAATTATTAATTGGACCTAATTGGAACCTACAGATGATTTGAAAACAGATATTTTTCTTTCATAATGCAGAGAACATCTGGGTCAGTCGGTCAGTAGTATAACTCTATGCACGTTCCGCCCTTTCGTCGCACTTACTCATTCGCGGAGGCGTCCAAGCGACAAATATATGACTACGTCAAAGATTTCCATAATAATATATAATTACAAAAGGTCTCGTAAAACTTTGAACAACGTTTGTGCTTTCGGGCATTACGCGCATTCCCTTTTATAAAACTGCGTCGGCGTAACTACGTTTATCGCGCAAAGTTATCAACATCGTCATTCTACATCGTAAAATTTCAAATCACATACGTAGTCGCTACTGTACACAACCATAATTCACGAACTATTCTGTAATAACTCACGATCGTAGCTGCGCGCGCGCACACACGCGTCCGGGTCCCTCTAACTTCATCTGAAATTCTACGTACCATTCTTCCCCGCTTTACTTCTTGTTCCACTACTTTTCATTCTTCCGCTTCCCCGTCTTCTTGCCGTCCTTATCTGGTGACGCGATATCGCCCTTCGCGAAACTCGGAAGTGAAGAGATAGGGAAGAAGGCTCCCTCGAAGCTTCTACTTGACATCGAGTAACTTTTGATAGTTCTAAGAGGTAAGACGAGGAAGAAGTCAAGATGGTAAAATTACCTTCGAATACTTCGTGACAAAATTCCGAGATTAATCTGAAATGCTGGTGGCAACGCGCCGCGGTGACAAAGCACGAGCTTGTTATTATAAAAACAAAATGCATTTAAAACCTTGTGAAACGAGTACTTGGAACTTTAAGTGTCACTTGGAATTTTGTTCGCGCAATACAAAGGACTTTTAAGAGGGGGGATCGATTGAACGACGGTCGTGATAAATGATGGGTCCATCAACGTTATATTGAAATCTTACGGGATCGTTATCCACGTTTATCTCCCCCTCCATCCCGAATGCAATGTATTACGACCATATGGTATCGAGAAAATCATTATTGACGAAGACGCCGAACTAACTCGTGCAGGAAGAAACTCATGCAAACGCTTGATAGCAGTAATGGAAGTTTGCAAGGCCAACTGTGCACAAGATTGAAAAATTGCTTCCGCGCAAACAACACGCGATACCATTAAATTGTTGGCTGTATTGCCGGTATGTTTCATTCGTCTTGATTTGCAAAATACATTAAAATTAGAGTTTATGCGCACTAAACATAAAATCTAATTAATTCGTCATAATAATAATCATTATTATTTACGAAATCTCATATACATATCTTTGCTCTTTTTGATTTAAATTACTATTATATCAAATATCTTATTTTTGTACAGTATATTGTAAAAATAATCCACTTTTTCGAGCTTGAAACCATTCTTTTCATTTGACAATTTCTTCAAGTATAATAAAAATTGGCGAATTCTGCGAGATCGCCAAATCAAAAGTGTGTTATACTAAAGTTACTCGTTAAATCGAATCACCTATACATTTTGTAAACATTGAACGAGGATTCAAACTTCATTATAGCGAAAATTTCGCTTTGTGTGTATTCAGTGTAACAGAATTTCACTGCAGTTTGTTCATTAATCACGGAAGCTCAGTGGAAACGCTCGATTCGCGGGGAACATCTTTTACCTTCAAACATTTCGGTCCATAAAGGAGAGATTCGATAAATCTGCGACGATAAACGATCATGGAGTTGCTGCTGCTTTTGATATCATGACGTACGGTCTATTATCACCTTTACTTCGGAACTCGGCCTCTCTCATGCTAAGAGCCTACTCGCATTTTTTTAAATAAAATTCGCTAATATCAACGAGTCCGCCTCCTCTTCCTTTCGATCCTGATCAACTTTCTATTACGTCTGCGCAATAAATCGTCCAGTCATCTCCGACATACTAAATCCCAAAAAGACTTCACGTTAAGAGAGGGATTATGAAGCCATCGATCGCTAACTAAGGAAGATTAAGTGACCCCGAACACTGTTTATAAAACCTCTCAACTCCCTTCGTCAATTTCAACGTCACCAATACTCTTTCAAAAAAGAGGTCATCTTTATCATGATAAAAGACGTTATCAAAGAGAGTTAAAATCGGAGTCGAGATATTTAAACAAATTTCCTTATACGTTTAAACACCATGTTTCGTTTTGCAATTATGTTAATAAGATTTCTTTTTCGAGATTTTTCAGCATTGTGAAAGAAGCCTAAAGCTGGTTTGAATCGAAAAGTCCATTTTTGGAACTGTATTGCAGTAAACAATCTGTTTTACTAATGACTAGCTATTACTAAGTACATCATTAACGGCCGCGTTTAATCGAGCGAGAATTTGTTTTCAACTGGCCTAATTACGCGCGGCAACCGAAATGTACGGGTAAACAGATGCGTGAATCGAAATCGACAGCGTTCCTAATTAATCGCTCGTGTGCCGCGCGTGCCCGCCAGAAAATGTTTTTCCAATTTCAATGGTGGCGCAACATTGTACCTACACGCAAGTCGACGAAACTCGCGACCGAATGGCAATAATGCGAGACCGCGAACTATCTACATGTATATATATATATATGATCGCCAGGAATTCTCTTGCGTGCCATAAAAAAAACCGCAGAGCCGAAGTCTGCGCGTATTGGAATATTAAAAGTTTTACGTCACTACGTTCACACAGGTACGAAAAGGAAAGAGATTGAACTGTGTAAAATATAAAAACCACTCGGTTCGCGCGCACGTACGTAATATTACATAATCGTATGATTCGTGTTCTGAGTCAATAATTCTCGTCAGGTAAAAATAAAGAGATAGAATTGAGAACAGAAAAATATAATCGCAGATTATATTTTTACGTGCAGGATCGTACCATGTATAAACGGTGAAAGATTTTCTTCTACTATTTTTTTCTACTTTGACTTATTGTTGAAAAAGAGCCGTAACTCAGCCCAGTTATTAGAATCATTCTGTACAACTACCTGAAACGGCTCAACTTTCACATACATTATTACAGGCGCCGGTGCGAAGAAAAAAGAGGGAAAGCAAAGTGACGGTGGAGAGGGACGAACGTTATTCCGCACGCTGCATGTTGTCGCGTAAAAAATCCGCGAGACGTGATGGGATACGGCAGATATAAAGTACGAGTCCCAAGACCCCGACCATTTCGCAACGGTTTATTAGATTCACGCTCGCGACGTAGGTGCGAATGAAAAAAAAAGTTCGTTTGGAAGGAGCGACTCGACACGGGCGCGTTCGGGTCGAAACGCGAGACGCGCCGAATACGCTTGTATTCGGTTGATTTGTGCCCCGAGTATACCTCTTATTTCGCGCCCGTGTATTCCCGGCGAGAAAGCGGCAGTATCGCGCGCATCACGTAGCGCTGCAGCCGAAACGTGCTTCAATTTTCGGCGGCACGGCGTGGCGTGGCGCATCGGGCGGAACAATGCGCGGGTGCATCTATTCACGGGGAAGTTGGGAAAATGTTAACAACCGCCTTTCAGCGACTTCTCGCCGAAATAAAAGCGCAACCAACGACACGCAACGCGACTTCCATCTCAATTCCCAACCGCTCCACCATCACGATCCATCGTCGTCCTTCCGTAATAATATTAACAGACACTTCTCGCGGAGACAAAGCACAGAGTGAAATAAAGCTCACTTTTCAACACCATTTTCACTCCACGTGTGCTAAACATTCTTCTACTTTCTGCAATTGCAGTCGTATTTTTCATTAAATTAAATTATCGTCGAGTTTAACGAGCATGGTCCATAAAAATCGAGAATCGATCATTAGATCAACAAGAAGTTAAAACTAATATAATAATTAATAATTTAATTTCCAATACAAAAATAAAAACAAAAATTTTTATGTATTTTTAATACATCTTCATTTAGTCGCACAAATTGTAAAAATTTTAATTT